GCCGGAGCGGCTCATCGGCCCACGCTTGCCTCCCGCTATCGAAAGAAGGCTTTTCCGATAAGCAATCGATTCCTAACAGAACCCTGACACTCCTCCGTCAGAGGCACCGCGTCCCGCCGGGCCGGGCCCCACGGCCAGACCCAGCACGGGCATGTCGGATGGATTTTTTTATTGTGTTGGTCAATAAATTTCCATTTTCTCAGGCAAGCAGCCCAATTTGCTGCTTACAGACTGCAGAGCCACGGAAGTATTTCTGTAGCTTATGCTGCTGTCTGGGGGGAACTGATGGCTTACTTACGGTAGGACGGGGTACTTCAGAAAATATTTCCATTTAATAATACAGAAAATCATTTGAGTTTTTGCCAAAGTCTCCCACAGTGAGGGAAAAACACGCCCACCTGTTTCAGACGTTGCCAAACCAGATGTGCTGCTCTGGGCACTCCGACCTCTCAGCGCGCTGGTTTAAATTACGGGTTTCAATTACCATTGGGAAGCGAACTTCCATTCTGCAGTTGCTGTCACAAGTCGCGCAGATGCCCTTGCTGACGTCTCCAGATGAAAACACAGGGTTTCTGGTCCAGCCCTGCTCCCTTCAGTCTGCGTAGTAATGGCCAAACTGCCACTTCTGACGAGGGTTTGCGGAGTCACAGGCATTGACCCGCAGGGCCTGGGGAGCGGGATCGGCTTCCAAGCAAGCCGGCTGCTGGAGGTGCTCCGAGACGAGGTGGTCCGTCTGCAGGGAGAGAGACGGCTTTAGGCAGTGGGACTCGGGCAGCAGCAGCCCTGCTTTTCCACCGAGAAAGCCCAGTTCTCTGTGGTGTGCCCTTTTTTCGCACTTCCCTAATACGAACGACTTCTTTGCTGACTTGTGGGACTTGTGGGCGGACCCAGCAGTAAACTGGATTACGAAGGAAAGAGGAGGCTGATCTCCCTCCTTTTGCTTTTCACACCTGCTTGGCTTTATCTGCTCAACCCACGGGGCCAGCAAGGCGATGCTGCAAGTGCTGCCAAAGGTAAGGGACCTTGCTGTGCCACCGCCTAGCATCACAGCGTTTCTTGTGGTCACTTGGGTAGCACCCAGGTGAAATCCTCCTGAAATGACCTGCTGAGCGTTGTCTGGGCAAAAGCTGGATCTTTGTGCATACAGCAAATGCGCTTCACAGAATCACAGGCTGGTCTGGGTTGGAAGGGACCTTACAGACCATGCAGTTCCAGCCCCTGCCCTGGGCAGGGACCCCTTCCACCAGACATCACTCACATCATTAGTGCAACACAAGGACGGTGACACCAGAAGGTGGTAAAGCGTCGTCATCCCTTTGGTGAGCACCCACCGCCCGCTGACCTGCTCTCAGACTTCCTACTGCTGGCAGCAGTGCAGGCTGCTGCGCCCACACCGACCGAGGCCGCCCGGCGCCGGGGAGCGTGTCGGTGCCCGTGCCCTTGGGTGTCAGACCTGTCCCCTGCCGCGGCCGGGAGCATCTGCCCGTGCCTAGCCCCCCGCTCAGCCCGGGACAACCAAACATCTACCTCACGGCTCGAGGCGAGACAAAAACTGCCTGTGCGCTGATAACGCCCACCGGGGCACGACAATTTTCACGTATTTTTCACAGAACACCCAAGGTGAGCCTTGGTGCCGTGGTGTTCAGGCTTTGAAAGTTTTAGTTTTTCAGACTAAAGATGAATGGGAACTTGTCAATACGATGAGCGTATAACTTAGCTGCATTTTCTCCTTCTTAAATTTAGAGTATTTCTCTCTTGAAGTATGCCATTTCACAGCATTTTGGACAACTACTTGCACCAGGCTGACAGAGCTAGAGTCGTGACTCTCTTGCAGGCAGCCCATGTAAGCATCCATGCTTTTCCTTTTCACAGATGCTTTCTTTTAACACCACCGCTGTGAGCTGAATGCCCATCAACATCCAGTACGGTCCACGCAGGTGCTGTCGGGGGTTTCCGTGCACAACCAGGAGGTGTTGTCATGGCACAGCGCTGCCGGAGCGAGCGCCTGGGCACGACCAGCGCCTGCCTCCCCAGCGCCGGGGCACGGTAGTTGGGCAGAGAGGAACCCGATGAAATTCAACAAGGGCAAGTGCAGGGTCCTGCACCTGGGGAGGAACAACCCCAGGCACCAGTACAGGCTGGGGCTGACCTGCTGGAGAGCAACTCTGCGGAGAGGGACCTGGGAAAGCTGGTGGACAACAGGTTGACCATGAGCCAGCAGTGTGCCCTGGCTGCCAAGAAGGCCAATAGGATCCTGGGGTGCATCAAGAAGAGTGTGGCCAGCAGGTCGAGGGAGGTTCTCCT